CTGGCTCCCTGACAGATCGCAGCATGTCAGTCTCAGTGCAGAGAGAGCAAACGAGTGGAACTATTTCCAGCAGATTCCCACAAGGATCAGTTCCTGGCCCAACATTGTTTAGTATTTTCATCACGTGTCCAAACAATGGTGTAAGATCAGTCCCAAGATGGTTGGGAGCTGGAGGACTGACAGTGGAAGAAATGGCTGTAGGAGCTGGGCTTGCTCAGCCTGAAGAAGAGAAAGTCCAAGGATATATTGTAGCACCATAAGAAGAATTTGTGAAGAAGGCAGAGCCAGGTTTGTTACAGACATCTACAGGAGGTGAGAGAGAGACCATGGTCATAAGTTGAAATGAGGGATGTTTCAACTGTATGTAAGAAAAGAACTTGCTATCGGGATACTCAGGAATTGGAGCAGGATGACAAGAGAAGTTATGAAATCTCTGTCCTTGGAGGCTTTCAGGAGCTGACCTTACCTGTATTATGTTCCGGCCCTGTTTGGAGCAGAGGTGTGGAAACAGATTATACCCCAAGGTCCTTCCAGCTATAGCATGTTATGACTATAGCCTAGTTTATTCTGCCTGGAGAGACATTTGGGAATTCTGTTAGATCATTGTTTCAATGCATACTGTAATGCAGTGCTACAGGGAAGTGCAGTGCTTGGATGCAATACTTGAAAGTATTCAAGGAGAAATAGATGCTAGTAGAATGTCGTCCCCAAACATAAAACAGTAGAAACTCTGGAGAGCATTCAAAAGAGCTCTGGCACATCTTCCTGAAGCACTTCAGAGAGATGTTTGCATCACCCAAAACTAGAGCATCCCCTTACTCTTACAAAGGAAAAAAGGTATCATACTTGGGACAGCAGTACTTACAAGGTCTCAGGCAAACATAGAGCAAGATTCAGTATGGGAGGCTTTAATTTAAGATAGTGTAAAATTCAAAATAAAACACTGAGGGAAAGGCAGAAAATGTCACTTTGGAGTGAAGCTGAATTCTCCATTGCTAGTCAAAAGCACTGCAGAGCAGTTGCCAGCCTGGATACCTGCTGGATTATCAACATGACCAGGATTTCAAAGCACTCTCACGTTGTATAGCTGAAAACTTGTTCTGCATCCCCCTAGCTTTCCTTTTCTGACTGATTGAAGTTGTTCTGCAGTATTTATGAATGGCATAAACCTTTTTTACAACTCCATACTGGCACAAACAAACCCCGTTGCCACAGCTGAGCACATAAAAACATAGTAAGATGTTACGTGAACATAACGTTGGCACAAGTTCTGGATACACAGAACTTGACCAACATTGCTGACTGAAGGCCGAGTGTGCAGCCAGCAGATAACCCTTCTGACAGATAACTGTTCTGGTGCCTTAAGCTGCACTTTGCTGCTTAACTGAGAACCATTCTGGTGAACTAGCTAGATTCACATGTACTGCACAGGTGCAATTGTGATAGAGCTCAAGGTCTCAGATACATTCCAATCCCTTGCTTTTAAATATAAATCACTGATTTTTTCAGATTGTGTGGAAATCCCAGCCCTAATGTCATCTGAGCAGGGTTTTTTTAAGCACTACAGTAAGTGATGCAATCACTCACTGCTGGTTTGGGTTTCACCAGAGCGCTATGAAGCCCAGATCAGCAACCTCCCAGACTGTAACTTCTTTGCTTTGTTAACAGCTAATATGAACAAACTGAATTATGATCACATCCCACTGTTAATTTATTAATTTCTTATACTCTAATTTTGTAGTTAAAACAAACTTTGCGTACCTTGGTGAAATCTTGTTTGTTTTCCTAAGGAGATAATTTGTTTCTCTTCAACATTTTACCCAAAGAAAGATACATTTATGAGAAGTCTCAAAATTGGTTTAAACAGGTGATATAATAATTCCTTGATCATTGAAATGAATCAAACATACATATGTACCAGAGTGCTGAAAAAGTGAGGGGATTGAGCGATATACCCAAACTGCATGGCGATGATAAATTATCAAAGAGTTTATTTGCTAGATAAATAAATTCCTGCCTTTTATGGAAAACAAACAGTCAAAATAGAGAAAGAAAAACAGTTACTGCAATATATTATGAGTTAGTGCTCCACTGTGTATGAATATGCGTAACGTATGAATGTGCACTCAAAGAAAGAAAAAAGCCATTGCACACTGAAGGAGAAAGCTGTGGGTTACTGTTCCTTAGGAGTATCTTCGGGTATGCAATACCCATGGCTGCACACTCACAGAACATGGGTTGCTGGATTCATGCCCTCTGCAGTGCACAAGCACGTTCCAGCCCCTGCTGCCTGCCTGCCTTGCCTATCTGGCAGCAGGAGATGCCAGAGACAGCCAGGCACCGCACAAGGCAACACCTTGGGTGCAAGGGCAGAGCCAAGGGCAGAGGGCTGGGAGGTGCCTGTTGGCTGGGATAGTGACAACACTGAAAACACAATGGTGATACACTTGACAGGAAGTGTAATATTGTTTGTATCACACATAAAGCTTTCCCTCTACTATTAACAACTTTAAAAATTACTTACAAGCATTCTTTACACTGCTCTGACAACTCCTCCTTTGATATCTGGGAATGGGCCTGCTGCCTTTCTGTGTTTTCTTCCGCAAAGTTCTTGTGGCAATATAAATTGCCTTCACCTTGCAGCTCATTGCAGATCCGTTAGCAGACCAGCAAGTGTTTTCCAGATTCCTGTTACACATCTCCCACTGACCATCTGCTATTACTACCTTAACAGAGATGCAAGAAATCACTTGTTGAAAGGGGATTACGTGGTTACAGCCCAGCACAAGGCTGCAAGCTCATTATGCTACTTCACCTTCTAACATTAAGCAATAGCAATAAACAACAGGGCTAGAGTCTTAGTAAAAACACACAGGTTCATATCAGCTATCTCAGAATAATTATCTTGGTTCACATGACATTCAGCTTACGAGCATTGAGTTTGGTCAGTTTAGATTGTAACCCTTTGTTACAGCAGTTTTATGTGTGGGGCTTTTTTGTTTTTTTGTTTTGTGTTTTTACACAGCAACTCGGGATTATCAAGGAAGACTCACTTTTATTTCTGGTTCTCTGTAGTCAGCAGAGACTGGATGCTTTAATTGTTACATGTGGCTGGATTTTTTTTTGGCAGCTTGATGTGAGAAGTGGGTCAGTGTTTCCCTTTGGAGCACTGAGATGTTAAGCTCATGTGGGCTCTGCATTCACTGGCCATTTGCAGAGAAAGATCTACCCGCTTACACTGTCTTGGATAAGTTTTGCTGGTCTAGTTTATATACCAGGCTGTCAGTTCTCTGCTGTGATCTGTTACCAATAAACAAGAAGTGATCTTTTCAGCCATCCTACTAGGGTTGCAGATTTCAAAACAATCTCCCATAGAAGATTCACAGAATAATACAGAGCAAGATAATCTGTTGCTGCACATTTACGGACAAGAAAAAGCTAAGCAGAGCTGCCTCTGATCACAGAGACACATAGCAGGAGCACAATGCTGCTGCAAGAAAGGGCCCTGCAGTGATTCAGGACATACCACTCTCTGGGAATGATATCCTGGCTCCACTTCGGTTTGGAAAAAAATGTTCCAAAAGTCTCTTGAGCTGCCACATACTCTATTTTAGTTCTGGAGCTCATCCTCTAATGTCATATATATTCTGAGTAGTAAGGGAACCACCTGATGTCCAGCTTCATTTCAGGGAAAGGGAGGGCATAGGTATGATGGGCACTAGAAGGCAAGTTTGGATGTACTCACATTACCGGTAAATAGTTCAGAGGAGAGACACCTTGAAAGGTCAGTGTCATGAACATAGCATGCTAATGATGCTAATGAGATAAACAACACCCAAGATAGCTAGATCTTAATGCAGTGGAGCTCTATGTACATGTTGCACAGGAAGTACCTGAGACTGACTCGTTTCAGCCAGGTGACTTGTCTTGCTTGTGCCCCACCGGATAGAGTCTCTTAGCACTGCAGAACTGATTTCCTTGGCATTTATCTACACTCTTAATGCTGAAATTAGTGCTTGAACCTGTTGTAAGATTGCTTTCTGCTGGCGTTCATTCTCCTCCTTCCAGGCTGTTCTGATTTATGACACAAGAAAACCTCTTTATTTTTTCCAAAGTATTCCATAACTCCTTGTACCCCAAACACACCCAACAACCATTTATTTCTGTAACTCATCTTAACCACCAAAACTGAACAAGTCCTGAACAACTGAACAGTGCACCTGTTCTCTTGCATTCAAATGAAAAATATGCTCTGAGAAAACAGCATTAGTTTTACTTTTTTGGCACATGACATAATTCATTATTTTGCTTATGATCACTGTCAGCGTCCCAGAAAAATGCAAAGTTTGCTGTTGCAACATGTTACACTGACTGTAACTTCTCATGTCATAGGCTAAAAAGCACCAGAGACATCATTTTGGTTAAGTAATCCTTTCAGAAAATTCCTCCCATCAAATATAGAAGACAGTCATCATGATGAGAAAGTCCTTTCCCCTAAAACTGTTTATCATCCCAGAATAAATAGCAATGAAAAGAATGGCTTTCCAAGACTTAAGGGGTCACAATCCTCTTATCAGGAAGGTATGACTCCAAGTACTGTACATAAGCCACTCACCCTTCCCAGTCATCTGAATGTCAGTTAGAAAAAAAAAAAAAAAAGATGAAGCTATAGAGCTACATCAACAGACAGCTGTCCCAGTGGGCACTGGGAACACAGGATGACTCGCATTGCTGAGCCATGCGGTCATGGCCAAAGGCACGATGAGCTCACATTTCATTCCGATGCACATACGCGGTGTGGTCAGACTGAGGGACTCGGCCACCCTCACCCTCCTGACGCCCCTCGCCTGGTCTCGACACTAGATCTGGCTAGTTAACATGTCTGGAATGAGCGCGAGCCTACCTCCCAGCTGGCAACTCTTCAGGCGTACTCGGATTCCAAGGTTGGAAGATTATCTCATTCAAGCATAGCTTTCCCAACGATATATAAGCAAAGCTAGTGTGGTGGTCCCAGCAGAGCCAGCCTGAGCATTGGGAGATTCATCCACAGGGGAGTACAGCCTTCAAACACTGGCAAACATGATGATGATGAAAGTAGAAGAGCTGGTAGGTACAAGCTTCTTTCATTTACTCGTAATTACTTTCCTTTCTAGACTGTCATTGTACCAGCCTTTGTGGATCACTGAGGTGACAGAGCAGTGCTCAAAACCTGCATCTGTTATAATTCGTTATCCTACTATAGTTCCACTAACTTCTGCTAAGGAAGGGGGCTTGCCACTGGTATAACTACACAGTCATTTGAATTTTGCATCAGAACATAACTCACCAGGAAGTACAGAATGACCAAAATTTAGCTGTGTATTTTCCCTTGATCTTGACTGACATACATATACTTGTAGAGCTACTAACTTCAAAATCCTAATCCAGTAAGAGACTAGGGAAAAGACAGCAATGCAGGGAAACCAAATTATTCTCTTTCCACTTTTAAGCCAACAACAGGCATTACTAACAATTCCTATTTTCACTGCTGTTCATGGTACAACAAGTTTTGAAAGCCCCTATTCTAAAACAGATCTCAAGCAATAGAACTTTCCATTGCAGAGTTCAGACTAACAATGACCAACAGACTGGGGAAAGAGGAGCAATCCAGTAAAGCACTGGAGCATTACACAGGAATATTTTTTTCTCCAGATGGCACAGTTAAGATGAAACTCACATACACTGACTAGCCAGTACCATCCAAACTCTTGGCAAGGCCTTAACAATTTCTCTAGTATTAAAATCTATAACAAACACAACTTTACAAGGGTGACTGAACAGAAATCTAGTCAAGAAAGCATACATTTACTGAACCACTTCAGATTTCATCCTAAGTTCATCAAAGTTGGGGTTGGACTCGATGATCTCTGGAGGTGCCTTCCAACCCCTACAATTCTGTGATTCTGTGTGATTCTGTGATTAACCCACATAAAGTTCATCATCCTCTAGGTTTAACAAGTTATCCCTTTGAGCATACTTAATAAAGCATCCAAAATATTTCCAAAAGCTATGAAGAGCTGTGCTGCAGCACAGCATCACGCAGCTTCAGCACAGCAGCTACCTCACATTCATTTGCCAAGTGCTATAAATGGGGACTTCGGTACTGACAGCAGTGCGTAAGATCAGCCTTGAAATTACTCAGCATCCTGATTTAACTGCACTGTTTCAGCCAGACTGTAAGGTCCCAAGGGGAAAGCATGTCCTCCCACTCTGGCATCTCATTTCCCTTGCTCATGAGGTGCTGGTGCCTGCTCAGGTTGGCTCCTTCCAGCAGAGCCTTTTACAGCTTTCTGATAGGTCTGACACATGGCGAGAGGAAATGCAAGAAAATTCTGAAGAAAAAGGATGTTGTTCACAACTCAACAGCTTTTGTCAGCACAGCAGCAGCTCAGTGCCAGTTGAGCACTGAGTTACAGCAAGGTGGCCTCATGAACCTGACCCAAACCCCGAGGATGCCAGCAGGGGGTTGCTCTGGGAATGTGGAAGACCTGCCTGCAAGCAAGCCTGCCCCAGCTACCCACACATATACTACACATCAGGCTGAATGAGGCCTGCAGTCAGTCTGCCACACACCGATCCATCATCCCAGGGGGTGCTTGCTGCGGTCATCAAATTGATGCTCATAACATATTATCTTTACAGGTGACTGGGAAGAAAACTGACGATAAAGATACCGGCAGCTTCCTCCCAGAGGACTTCAAAACTGGAGAGTATGAAGCTGCTGTAAAATTAGAGAAGCAAGATGACCTAAAGACAGCCTCTGATCACCTACTAACCCAAGTAGACATGGCTCCCGGGAAGCAGAAGCATGAGGCAGAGGTAGGCTCTTGGATTTTGTACTTGGGCTTTTATCATCTTTACACACTTTCTTCAGAGCTCCATGAAGTTTTGCCTCAGATTTCTAAGTTAGAAATACATGCATGCTAGGCCAGATAAACAAGCCCCCAGGAAGTCACTGCCAAAGGAAGTTGGTCTAATGCCCACCGAACGCAGAGATGTGCCGAATCCTGCAGCTGACTGATGAAGGCAGTAACTCTGAAGCGGATCCCATGAACAAGAATTCATTTGGAAAAAAAACATACCATGTGTCAGGACCTCACCAATTTATTTACAAACATATTATTTAAATACATTTAAAGGATAGAATTTGTCATGAGATAGTGCTTTACTTTGAATCACTCTTCCAAAGCCAAGGACACTGCGTCATACCTGAAATCTTATACTTCAGCAAAGACAACACACTTGTCATTGATGCTAGCAGTGCCCTGTACTCACTTCATGCAGGGATGCTTTAACAAAGGAGGCTTGAACAAGACTTAAATACTTATTGAATTGTCCCTTCAAAGACACCGCCGACATTCTCTCTAGTTTATCAAAATGCAGCACTTACTGATTGAAATGCTAAAATTGCTATAAATCACATACTTCATTTAAGGGTACATGTGTTTTTTTTTTTATATCAAAAAGGATTAAGATAAATCAGTGGCTACCACATGAAAGTGGTTGAAGGCAAAATGATTTGTGGAAGTCAGTTAAACCTACAGGGGCCTCCCAGTCCTCATAAGCTGCAGATGTCTTAAATTGTTGGACCAAAAAGGACTGCAGGGCTGCTTTGACTCCTGGCCTTGCACAGGCCAGAAAATCTCATGATATCCCACAACATATGGCTGAAGAAAGCGTTTAGGAAAAAGTACAATGATGCATGAAAAAACCGTGTAAGAAATTCTGTACCTTTTACACTTTGCAACTTAATCTAATGGTCCATTAGCCATAGCCCCAATACAAATCAAATCAAAACAAAAACTTATTTCAAAGTTAACTCTGTATGAACTGGATTCAACTGAATGGTAATACCCACTGTCCTGCCACTCTAGAGGGAAGGTGTGTTCAGTCCCAGCTCAAACTGCTGCCTCTCCTCATTTGTTTCAGTTGAAGATGAAAAAACTACAGGAGAAATCAAAACTCGAAAGCTTGGAGGACCTTGAAAAAATTATTCAGCTGAAGAAGAAGAAGAAATGCAGGAAAGTGAAAGCTCCCCTTTTAAAGGAACCCGAACCAGAAGTTATTGTAAGTTCTGCTGTGAGCTCCTTTGGGAAAGAACCAACGAGCTTTTGTGCCACTTGTATTCACCTCCTGTATATTTTTCTCCATTAGACAGGGCCAGTGGACATAGCCATGTTCTTCAGAGCTGCACTGGAGAATAAGTTGCCAGTCATTGAAAAATATTTGTCAGACAAAGGAGATCCCAATGTCTGTGATGAGGTATGCTCTTTTTCTTACTCTGAAGCCTGCTGCACAAGAAAGTTTATTACAGAACAAAATTAACTTTCACCAGTAGGTTTTATAGTATGCACAGTTTTGAGGAGAAAAGCACTGGAAGTGGGTTGGGGTAAATAAACCCTGGAATTTTAACGTATTATGTATTCCATTGATAAAGGGCTGCTGGGATCCTCCTAAGTAATGTTACTTCAAAAGAATCCTTACATTTCAAAGAGAGATATTGGTGACCAGGAGACCCTGATTTTCTGTAACGGATGCTCTTCTAATGCTACAGATGAACAGATAAGAAATTTGTCTGCAGAAATACACACACAAAAAAGTGATGCTGCTGGCCCTTGTACTCCATAATGCATAAGCTGCATTTGCAAAATACAGCATCGTGTGTTGAATGCAGGAATCAAGAGGCATCATTTTAATGCCACACTGCAGATATTCCTCACACCTTTTTAAATGCTGGGTAGGCAGATCGCTGCTATTAGAATGCTATTAAAATTTAGCAGATTTCAGGTCTCGAAAGCATTAGCTCTTGAAAATGAAACAGCATAACGCGTGGATTTGCCATCATCCCAGAGATGCAAAGATAAAAGATTTAAAGAGACCTCTTTGTGCCATATTTGATATCTGACTTAGCACTGTTTTAATTGACAGTACAAGCGTACTGCATTGCACAGGGCATGCTCTGAAGGACATCTAGAGGTGGTCAAGAAGTTGGTGGAAGCTGGAGCCCTGCTTGAACTGAAAGATATGGTATGTTCATTAACACGTACTTTAAAATTTGCTCAATGTTTTGTAACTGGTAAAACAAACACAAGAAAAGCGATAGACTTTACACTGTCTTTCAAGTTTATCCTCAGAATAACACTGCTGAGGTTTCAGGAGGGGATGTCTGTCTTTCTGGGTCAAAACGTTTTGAAGTAAAATGCAGGAATGGGAGGACCATGTTCACCAACAGGCTGCCACAAACCATAAAGCCCTAAGAAGGGTAGAACATATGAGGTCAGGCTACCACATCGGGCTGTGAGCAGCTACTGGAGGTAGCAGGGCCCCACAGGGCCCAGTGCAAAGTATACATTTTCCACCAGGAAATCTTTGTGCTCCTGAGAGACATCTTCTCTGGTGAACACTAACCGTGAGGGTTCTGCAGCTGTTTTTTCACTCCTCCACTTCCAGCTCTTAGTTTGTTTGCTAAATAGATAGCATCGACTAGCCTTGTTCCCCTCACTCAACCAGCCATGCCCACAGTGCTGTAAGAAATCAGAGGAATAGTGAGCAGAGCAAGACCTGTAGGGAAGGGGCAGCCCTCCAAGCAGAGAATTGGTGTTGGAGAGGTGGAGGGCTAGATGACAGAGGCTGTTAATTGAAATGGCTCAACAATCATGGAAAACTGCTTTAAGTTAAATTGCATGACAAATGATTTTGAATTCATTTAGAAGTTTGATCAAATTAGCTAAATTTCTTCTTTTCGTGCATTATGCTGAATTAAATTACTTGTGTTTTTTTCTGCCATAGCTTGAATCTACTGCCTTGCACTGGGCATGCCGGGGAGGAAGCCTGGATATTGTGAAATTCTTACTGGACAAAGGAATAAACAGAAACGCAAGAGACAAGGTATGTTCCTCTGGGGCTCAGCCACTTTTTAGAGACTGCAAGCCCCCCAAGAAGATAATTTTTGGTGGCTGTTGTGGTACTATTTTACTGTGCTCAGTGTCACTGACGGCCTTCATAGAATTATTTGAGTTGGAAAGGATCCCTAAAAGCCATCTAGTCCAACTCCCTGCAATGAACAGAGACACCTACAGCTCCATCATGCTGCTCAGAGCCCAATCCAGTTCGACCTTAGATGTTTCCAGGGATGGGACATCTACTTCTCTGGGCAACTTGTGCCAATGCCTTACTATGCTTACTATAAAAATCTTTTTCCTTATATCCAGTCTAAACCTCCTGTTTCTCCCCACTCAGCTACGCAGCACCCCACTGCACGTAGCTGTGAGAACAGGGCAGTACGACTGTGCCGAGCACCTCATTGCTTGCGAAGCAGACCTCAACGCCAGAGACAGAGTAAGTTCCACCAGATCCTTACCCTTGGAACTGGGCTGCTGCCTGTCTTCATGGTTCCACTTCCCTGTGAAAACCCCTGGTGACACGGTGCGGCCTGGTCTGTGGCGCAGGCTGACCCATGTCTCACCCCGTAGGAAGGTGACACACCAATGCATGACGCTGTCAGGCTGAACCGCTACAAAATGGTCCGGCTTTTGATTCTCTACGGGGCAGATCTTACCATTAAGAATGGCGTAAGTAATTCAGAAGTTTTCCTTCGGAGCAGCTTTGTGGGTTTTAAGGCTAGAAGAGACTATTGTGAACAGATTTAATTAAATCACTGTACAGTTAACTAAAGAACAGCTCACACAGGGAAAGGGCAACTTGGAGAAGGTCAGGGAACAGATGAAGAAAGCAATACCTACACTAAAAGCACAGTCTATCAGCTGCAACTTAAACGACCACCACACCCTATTTTACTTACATATTATATTAAAACCCATGCACACAGTTGCTGTCTGCGCAGCTCCTGGGCTTCAGTCACCACTGAGATCACAACAGGAGCCCCATGGCTTAAGAGATCTACTTTAGCCAGCACCAATTAATGCTTCTGATTAGCAATCAACTACACCTGGAGAAAGTAAGGGAGAAATCAGTCCTTGCCCCAACCTGCAAAGCCACTCCCAGTGTTTCCCCTCACCCGGGTATGAAAATGAGGAAGAACGCAGCCCAAAAGGCACAAAGTGTACTCACTCAGGCTTTGCGCAGTAAAGTTGCTCCTGTTTAATTTAGATGTTGTCCATAATTTAATTAAGCATGCACACACTCTTATCCAAATTCTCAAATCAGTTTAGATTGGACCCAAAGAAACAGTGGCATGCTCTGCTAGTCACACTGTTTGCTAACACGGCATAGGCCCACTCACATACATGGAAATTTCATCAGGAGGCTGAACAGACAGGGGATAGGAGGGCAAAATAACTCAGGAATGAGAGTACCTGATCCTGTGCACGTAGAAGAAGTCTCACATCATATGCACTACGCAAATATTTAGGGAAGAATAAAGGAGTAAATTCACCAGCTGAAATTAGATCTTGCTTTCTCTTTTCATCTTAATCAGGATGGAAAAACCCCTATGGACCTCGTTCTTCAGTGGCAGAATGGCACCAAAGAGCTGTTCAACAATCTGAAGAACAACTCCTATAAGAGCACCCAACTAAACAAGTTTTGAAGAGACAAAAGCCAGACTGCTCTCTTTTTGCTGCTTTTAAATGCTTCGCATGATCCTGGAGGAAAATAGCCCTGAACATACTATATTTATTGAAGATATTTATTGTACTAAATTATTTGAATTGCCTTCACTGAAAATGACAATTCAGGCAGATTGAGAATTAAGTTTCCACTGGTTTTAAAATAGCTTTATTTATTCCTATTTATTTCAAGGGTAATTTTTAATGGTTCTCAGTATTAATTTTTTTATAGTTTTAAATTGCAATGCAATCTTTATCAGCAACATGAGCCATTTTATCTTGATGGCACTATTACCAACCTTAGCAACTTCCATCAAGCCTTCCCACAGTTCTCAGTAGCTAATATTTGCAATTGCTGCCATGCCTCTGCAAAATTCTCACTTTCAGAAAACTGTATTACGTGAGTGGTGATATGTGGAAGAGAAAAGGAGTAATGGAAGAAGGTCTGCTGAGACCCCAAGTGGATTTAAAGGAATAGCTAAGTAATGGGGTTTAAACGTGCTATAGTGATAGTGGCTGATAAAGAGCTCACGGACAGAGCTCCATCATGTAGCCATATGGACTGCAGGATTCAGATGCAACGTGATGAAGGTGAGAGGAGACGGTATTGGAAATGTGGATTTCTTAAAGCTGGACTACTACAAAGTCCGATGATCGAAGAATGTAAAAAACAGATGATGTATATTTGTAAATTTGTACTGCTTTTTCTGTACATTTTGTACTGACTTATCTCAGATTAAATAAACAGCGTGGTTCTTTGTACTTGCTAGAGTGTATTATGGAACAGTAAGCATGCACCAGACAGTTCTCTTCCTCAGTTCAGACCTTAGCCCCTAAAATTTATAGATACTAAAAAAAAAGTCTAAGCTGCCTAAAGCAGCCAGCTCTTGAGCTACCTTCCTGCCACTGTTAGATAAATACTGTCTCTTATTTTCTTCCATTATGCAGAAACACACATACAGAAACAGAAAGCCAGTACTGAAGAGGCTAGTAAGATACAAAGTTACACTTTTATCACTGAGTTTGATTTAAAATCCCCTTTTCTCAGCAATCAGTACTTACTGTGTGGAGCACACAAGACAGCTTCAATTGTCCCAGTCAAGGAAGATGTGCAATCCTGCTAGGAAAGAAAGGTATCTTTCCCCTTGCTTTAGTAGAGGTAGAACAATGTTAATAGGCTTGTCAGCAGAACCACTGATGTGAAATTTCACTAGGACATCACATGCCATGTTCAGTTAAAATCTGAACATCCCATGGAGCAGCCTCCCAGTGAAACATGCCACAGGCTCCCATGAAGATTCACCAGTCAGTAAAGCTGGCTTCTAGTGAGCAGACTTTACAATGTGGCCAAAACAAAGTCCTGGGCAATGAAACAATGGACAGTGATGAGTATTTGTTACTCGAATGCCAATCTTGGAAATGAATTTACAGAAACCCCATAAGGAGCAGGCAGAACAAATGCCTATTCAATCTGCAACCAGCTACCCTGTGCTGAAGCAACAGATTTAGACAGATGAGACTTTTCACACAACAAACACCGTAATTTGTGTCACCTGAGAACACATTTTTTTTTTTTCATAAGAACCATGTCATGTCTCTGCTTGCTATCCTCCTCTGCAAGCTACTATTTCTGTACTTGTTTCTGCACAATCATCTGGACATTGGGAGTATATCTTTCCAGGAAACAGGAATTACATCAGTGCTGGCTAACTCATCTTGACTATCTTAATAACTGAGCAGCAGTTCAGTGCTCCTGGAAACTGGGAGAAAAAGAAACTTTCCACACAGTTCCTGAAGCACTGCACCTACTTAAAGAGCAAAGATGCAGATGTTACATTTTCTGGATGAGGGCAAACAAGTGACAAGGAGGATATCTTGCATTCAAAAGCTTCCCTCTGCATGCTAGTTACAAAACAACTCTCCTCACGCTCAGGGTTGATGAGTCTCCAGCCAAGGTATATGACTTATAAAAGTTACACTTTATAGGCACATTTCCAGTGCTTCTTTATTTGGTTAGAACCTTGCTTTAGAGGCAAGTCCATAAATAAGAAGCCACTATATATAATATCAATATCAGCATTATCTCAATACCGCAATAAAGCACTCACATGACGATGTCGACCAGTAAAATAAAATCAAAGGAAAACTAATTTTATTGCTTTTTGAATGATGCAAAAGCTCTTGTGACGTACACCAGCATTTTATAAAACTGTGACTCTACTGAGAGCTTTGTTAGCTCCTAAGAGCTCAGAGATAACCCACCGCAAGTCTTCTGCGGTACTTTACACATCACAACTTGTGCTTCTCAGCTTGTTGTCAGGTAAGAATAGAGAATCGCAGAATCATTAAGGTTGGAAAAGATCACTAAGATCTGGTCCAACCATCCCTCAACACCAAGCCCACTAACCACACCACATCCATGACTTTCTTGAACATGTCCATGGACAGTGAATCCATCACCTCCTGGGCAGCATGTGCCAGTGCATCACCACTGCTTCTGAGAAGAAATTTTTCCTGATATCCAATCTGAACCTCTCCTGCTGCAAATTGAGGCCATTACCTCTCGTTCTACCACTGTTACCTGGAAGAGGCTGACCATCACCTCATTATAACCTCCTTTCAGGGACATGTAGGGGAACAATAAGGTCTTCCCGGAGCCTCCTCTTCTCCAGACTGAACAATCCCAGTTCCCTCAGCCCATATTACCTGTTTTCCAGATCTTTCACAGCTTTGTTGCCCTCCTCTGGACACGCTCCAAGGCTTCAGCACCTTTCATGGGGCAACACAGAATTGGAATATTGGAATATTCAGAGTAAAGGTGCCACAAAAGCATCTCAAGTACAGCATCTTACATAATTTTTATATTGGTCAAAAGAGAAACTTCAGTCAACATTTGGAAGATGTCTGAAAATGCCTCACTGATTAGAAATCTGTTGTGACTGCTTTTTTGGATTAGATTTACTGAAGCACTAAGGGGAAGTTAATTGGAAAGTCAGGAGGCAGCAAAACAACCTGGACATAAAAAAAAGACATAACAGTAACAGTTGTGTGACATGGAGACCGCTCAGGCCTAGGTGAGACAGCTGTTATGCTGCAACAGCACACCATGCTGAGCACACATTCAGGATAACCTTGGGCTCTTCCTATCCATGGCAAATGTCTCATGTTACTGTTTGGCTTTAAGTTGGGATGGTTTGATTCTAAAGGCAGAGAGAACCTTTGTGCTGCGCGTCTAACAGGTTGATTTAGTCACTGTTCCTCTGATACAAACTCAAGATTTCTCCTAGCAAGCAACAGATGCTAGGATTGTTACAGTTATTGATCACAAAACAGAAGAGAGAGCAGATAAAGTTTTTACTGCACAATTATTCTCTCAGGCCATTTAAGGTAAACTTTACTGACTCCTGGTTCTAAGGTTTAGTACAGAGACATGTTTTAAAACTTCAGTTACTATAAGAGTGAGACTTTACAGGCATGCCTTCTTGAAACCATTTTTAATTAAAAAAAGAGCGCAGTTGACACAATGTTTCTGTCTTAGGGATACTTTCTATTGTGCAAGTTCACTGATTCCAGAAGACCCAGGACAAGGTGGAATGATTCCCTCCTGCCCTTGTCCAGAAGCCCAGCAATAGGATTCCCACAGAACTCCTCACTTAGAAACCAGAAAAATAATTATTCTTTAGGCTAAAAAAAAAAAAAAAAAAAAAAATCAGTAAGTGAGGAACCAAGCCAGTTGGAAGGTGGAGGAAGACTCAGCCACTGAGTAAAGACTGCGCAGAGGCTCCTGTTGACAACTGGCTCAAGCTTGAGTCTTAGCCTTTTTGCAGGCTGGCACAGTTTCTTCCTCCTCAATTTTGTGAAGCTTCTTCACTGTGTATACTACCCCACAGGCACTCTTCCGAGTTTCTGGAATATACAAGCAAAACTGAATTACCTCAAATAAACCTACACTAATGCACTTCATGCACACTCACTGCAATTCAGCATGTTTCCCAGCCAGCCACGCAGCACACACAGCAGGTAAGCAACCTGCATTGGCAGAACATAGGAGACACTCAGGAAACTGAAGTGGGAAATATGAGGTTGGGTGCAGAAATAGAGCAAGAATGAGGGAGTCTGCTGGGACTTGGGGGGAGAGAGGGTGGGGAGGACACGCTTGAAACCGAAGGAAAGCACGCTTTATTAGTTCTGTATCCACAGAAAGACACATTCTTGAACACATGTCAAAAAAGCATTTCAGTATTTCTGAGCAAAACAACGTTCTCAAATAAAACAAATAAATATTCACATACTTCAGGGCTCTTAAAAAGGCTACACTGGCACAGCTATATTGGCAGAGGCTCACATATACAAACAAAGTAAGCAGCTTCATAGCATTCAAACAAACATATTTTATTTACAGAACTCTCGGCATTACCATATCATGCTACTCTTGGTACTCCTTATACGTTTGCCAAACACCCAGTAAAACCAGTCCAACTTCAGAACCACTAGTATAAGGCTTCTCTGCAAACTGCAGATTTGAGGTAGACAAGGCTACTAACAAATACTCTTGCTAGCAAAGTGGCTTCGTACGAAACTTGCCAAAATATACTGACTTACTCTGGTCTACTATTTTTTGGGGCATGGGAAAATTACACCTGTTTTTTTTAACTTCATAGATAAGAAAAATGAAGGTCTTGAGAAATTCCACATAAACTGGAGAGAAGTTTATGCAAGTTATTAGCAAGTCTGCTGATGACACAAAGTTGGGAGGATTGGCTGACACGCCTGAAGGCTGTGCTGCCATTCAGCGAGACCTGGACAGGCTGGACAGCTGGGCAGTAAGAAACCAGATGAGGTTCAACAAAAGCAAGTGTAGGGTCGTGCACCTAGGGAGGAATAATTGCATGCACCAGTACAGGCTGGGGGATGAGCTGCTGGAGAGGAGCTCTGCAGAGAGGGACCTGGGCATCCTGGTGGACAACAGGTTGGCCATGAGCCAGCAGTGTGCCCTCGTGGCCAAAAAGGCCAATGGCTTACTGGGGTGCATTAAAAAGAGCGTGTCCAGCAGGTCGAGGGAGGTGATCCTCCCCCTCTACTCTGCTCTGGTAAGGCCTCATCTGGAGTACTGTGTCCAGTTCTGGGCTCCCCAGTACAAAAAAGACAGGGACCTCTTGGAAAGAGTCCAGCGGAGGGCCACAAAAATGGTGAAGGGCCTGGAGCATCTCCCCTATGAAGAAAGGCTGAGGGAACTGGGTCTGTTTAGCCTTGAGAAAAGACAAGTGAGAGGGGATGGAATCCAGGTTAATAAATACCTGAGGTGTGGGGGCCATAGTGGTGAGGCCTGTCTCTTTCCAGTGGTACGTGGAGACAGGACAAAGGGAAACGGACATAAGCTGCAGCAGAGGAAGTTCCTCACGAATGTGCGCAAGAACTTCTTTACAGTGAGGGTGATGGAGCACTGGAACAGGCTGCCCAGGGGGGTTGTGGAGTCTCCTTCTCTGGAGATATTCAAGACCTGCCTGGATGCCTACCTGTGCGACCTGCTGTAGGGAACCTGCTTTGGCAGGGGGGTTGGACTCGATCTCTAGAGGTCCTTTCCAGCCCCTACAATTCTGTGATTCTGTGAGAAATTCTTCCAACACACTGTCACTATGTAGATGAGTAGTGTAGCAGGCTGGATGACCCTGTTCATAGAAACGCACTCTTGAAGAGATCAAAGCTCCTCACTGTGAATTTACAGCACATTAAAACCGCAATTCTACTAAAAGAACAGATAC